CAATGCCCAAACAAGTTGACTTCTTTGTCATTACTCAACTTCTCCAAGAACCTGTCGTTTTCAATTTCAACTGGGCTCCATACGCACAAATACTCCTCGACAAGGCCCTCCATCGTTCCCCACACTCGCCATTCCATCTGGGTATGTCCAATTCTTCATTTTTATCTGCTGTCTATATTGGTTTTGTGCTATTGAAAACTCCACTGAGCCCTTTTCATTCTTGCACACTTGGTTTCTCAACTGCTGCGAGGTTCAAATAATGGGAGGGAGTTGTAAATTTGGAATCTTTATGTTTTTAAATCCGGTTTCATATTATTCATTAAGCTCCTAATGTTAGATTCTGATTCTTCGCACAATAGTGTTATATGATGTTAAAGTTCCCACAAAGCAATTGTATTCGTCATACATTCTCGTATTTCATTCTAGTAGAGTTGCTTTGGGTTCAACTTCTGAGTTTTTCTCGGAGCTGGTAAAGATGATGCTCATTCGCAACTGAATATTGGTATTTAGGTTTAATCCTGCAAGTTGAAATGTGCGTATTTAGCTGCAAACAGAGTATTCAAATCGTGTTCCATACTAGTGGATATTGATCTGTTTGATCATGTGAAACACAGTGAAAATTATCGATGCCCCACTTACATTGATTTGGAAACAGAGTTGATACTTGCAGTTGCCGAGATGATTTGACAAACCTACAATGCCTGTGTATAGCTATATGCTGCTTTTATACCAAGAATTTTGTTTGAAGTGAGTTGTGGGAATACAAATAATTACTAACAGATTTTACATGAAAGATTAAATTGGCAGGCCTGCTCTAGAGTTGATGCTGCTGGAACTGGTCCTCAGTTGAATAAAATCTTACAATTCAGGGATGCCTTCTGGAGATTTCTGAGACCCCACACTATACGTGGAACAACATTAGGATCTGTGTGAGAAATGACGGAAATGTCTTTCTACTTTCATCAAAATGCATGATTTCTAGTAATTTTGCTATCGGAATTACATCTGACTTTCTCCAATCATACAATTCTTACAGTTCTCTGGTAACCAGAGCTTTGATCGAGAATCCCAATTTGATAAAGTGGTCATTATTGCTGAAGGCATTTTCTGGACTTGTAGCACTCATTTGCGGAAATGGTTATATTGTGGGAATTAACCAGATATATGATGTTGGCATCGACAAGTGAGTAACAAACATGCATACCTTTAGTGTGCAGGCTTAGGTTTTTATTACACAGATCACAGTGTTTAAATATACCGACTGGCATATATAACAGAATCATTTGTGTTAATTTCTACCTTTTCATACCCTTCCAATGCAGGGTAAACAAACCTTACTTACCCATAGCCGCGGGAGATCTTTCAGAAAAGTCGGCATGGTTCTTGGTGCTAATTCTTGCTGCTTCTGGTCTATTAATTGTTGGGTTGAATTTTGGACCTTTCATTACGTCTCTTTACAGCCTCGGTCTTGTCCTGGGCACTATCTACTCTGTTCCCCCATTTCGGATGAAAAAATATCCCGTCATAGCATTTCTTATCATAGCCACGGTAAGGTTTTATATATTTCTTGTTGTGATTCTCTAGGTAGACTCAAGGTGCTGTTTTCTTTAAGCTGATAAAAGACCACAAAAAGAGATTTTTCTTTTTGATGCTGCTCTTATTAGTAACTAGTGACATGCAATATATTTATTTAGGTCCTGATTTTGATTCCCACTAGATTAAGTAAATACTGAGTCATTTTGCAGGTCCGGGGCTTCCTTCTTAACTATGGCGTGTATTATGCCACTAGAGCTGCCCTTGGTCTACCATTTGAATGGAGGTCAAATAGCTAGACAAAAAGTCAAAAAATACCGAGTTTTTCTTGTTCTTCTGCCTATTTTCCTGATGTTGTCTTTTCTTTTTTTCATTCTTGCAGCTCACCAGTTGCATTCATCACCACATTTGTAACATTATTTGCTCTTGTCATTGCCATAACCAAAGATCTTCCAGATGTGGAAGGTGACCGCAAGTTAGTAACAGAACCCTCTTCGCTTTTGATTCTTGCTTATTGCTTTGGTCCTCAATTGTTGTTCTTGCTATTACTGCCAAACTGAATTAGCTGGTAACACAGAACATTAATTTCTGATTGGCCCACTGTACTTAGTAAAGTTTCATTTTTATTTCCCATTATATTCCACTGTATTTTTTTTCTCTTACATTCATTACACTCCAAATTATGCTGCGTATGTACGAATTGATAGGTTTAAGATATCGACCTTGGCAACAAAACTTGGCGTAAGAAATATTGCATTGCTCGGATCTGGGCTTCTGTTAGTAAATTACATTGGTTCTATTTTGACAGCAATTTACATGCCTCAGGTAACTCTCCTTTCATCTCTCCTCTATGTTGCTATTGACATCGTTATCACTAAACAAACCTTTTGAATAGTGATGATTCAAAAAAAAATTAGGACTTCAAGCTGTGATATGTTGCAGGCTTTTAAGAGGAGCTTGATGATACCTTCACATGTTATCTTGGCCTCAGGTTTAACTTTCCAGGTAAAGATATTTTATAGTAGCCAAATTTAGGGGGATAAGCATAAAGCTTTATATGTTTTTCTTAGATGATAAGCATAACGCTTATAGCCTCCCTAAGGTTTTAGTTCCCCAAGAAAAAAATTAGAGGTAAATTAGTGCTCATTTTCCACAGTGCATGGCTGAAAATATTGTATAAGCCATGTAATGGTTGGATCTATCATATTCTTTAGTTATTTTACTTTTTGCTTGTCTTGCAGGCATTTTTACTGGAAAGAGCAAACTATACCAAGGTAAGTTCAAACTATGAAGTTTTTTTTTTTTAGTTATATTATTATACTTGTTCGACATAGAACTGTTTATGAAATGAGATGATTACGGAACTTTTTCGAACTGAAACATGATTGATCCTTCATCCTAGTAAAGGTAACAATCATATTCAGATATATTCAGCGTTGATACACAGAAGATTATTGTTATGTGCCTCAAGTATAAAACGGTGTCATCTCCAAAGCCAATTATCATATAATTTTGTTGACAAACAAGCATTTGCACACGCAAGAAGCACTAATTATGCTAGAAAAGCACTAAATTTAGACTGTATATTTACGCTGCATATTTTTTCTGGATTATAATTAATTAATCCCAATAAATGTATTTCGCAGGAAGCCATCTCCGAGTTCTATCGTTTCATATGGAACCTGTTCTACGCCGAGTACATATTGTTCCCTTTCATATGATCAGCCTCGACACAATTTATAGAGCGGAATTCGTAGTTGCTATTTTGGGTACTAACAAGAGTATGCCAGTCATTGTAATGCTTTCTTGTTTACATTTATGCCGCCATTTTTTTTACACACACGCTCGCCAAATTTGTTGTTGCGTTCGATCCGAATGTTCTTAAACAATGTGAACTATAAATTTTCATGAGGTCTCTTTCTTCCATCTTCTGATATGTATAACTATTGGAATATCCGTTAGACCTACCTAATTAACCCTATGAATGAGTTATTATGTGAGCATATGCATTAATTAAGTGTTTATAAGCCTGCAAAAACGAAAATATGTGGTTATTAATATTTATATTCCGGCATGAATGATAAATGCATGTAATCAATCTGAAGTCTAGGTTAGCTCGCGCAGCATAATAAAGGCCAAAAGGTGTAAGTAGTTGGCAGGTTATTATAATGGTACCACCCTACTAGTACTACTTTTTTCATTAATTCTGTCAAAATCCGTAATTTTCATGTACCTAACTTTTAGCTCATTTAGTTCCCAAAGGTGATCAAGAAAAAAGAAATAATAATAATAATAAACAGCATACGATGAACTAAACGTGTTCTTGATGGCACAGACTACAGTACGTTGAACTAAAAGTACTACTAGCTAGTATTTTGGGTGTGCAGCCAGGTCTTTCATGTGATCTTC